TTTAAAGATTTTATTTATTTATTTGACAGAGAGAGACACAGCGAGAGAGGGAACACAAGCAGGGGGAGGGGGAGAGGGAGAGGGAGAAGCAGGCTCCCCGCAGAGCAGGGAGCCCGATGTGGGACTTGATTCCAGGACCCTGGGATCATAACCTGAGCCGAAGGCAGTCGCTTAACCGACTGAGCCACCCAGGTGCCCTAGTTGTTAAAGATTTTTTAAACCACTTGGCCCCTGATCACAAGCCAACTACATCAGTTAATGCTCAACAGAAGAAATAATGATTTTTGTTCCAAATGTAGCAAGAAAAACTGGCTGAGAGATGGGATTAAGTCTTCAATGAGATGCACAATTATGGCCACGTGTACTGTTCTTTATTGATTATTTAAGGGATTTATAAGAGAATTTTGACTATACATACTTTTTACCTTATATAGTACTCACTTTAGAATTTAACTGCCTAGCATGTGATGTAGTGATAGCTGCTTGGAATGCTGGGTTGATGTGTGCCTGGGGGTTAGGGTATATTTCACATAGATGCTATTCTTGCTGTATCCTTTTGTCTAATAAATCATAGGTGGGGTGGCGGATGCAGAAAACTACATCCATGTTTGTTTTTTAAGGTAGACTTCTGTGATGTTGAAGTGGACTAAGTTTTGCTTATGTTCTAGTTCTGTCATCAGTTTGAAGGTTAATTTATTTCATTTAGTGTCTTCTAAGTTCTAGTACCTTGAATAAGACTTGAGTAAGTGATGCTTTTGTTGTCAATAGTTCATTGGTAGAGTGAACGTAAAATCTCCCTCAGTGTAGATGGATGAACTGGAGTATTGCCATTTCATTAGTTTGTTTTGGAACAAATTCATTTACTAGTAAATCTGCTCTTTTCTCTTTCTCTCTCTTTTTTTTTTAAGGTTAAAATGGGCTTGTTGGTGGATTTGACAAATACTTCAAGGTTCTATGACAGAAATGACATAGAAAAAGAAGGAATCAAATATATAAAACTTCAGTGTAAAGGGTAAGTCATGTATTAAGATTCTTTAATATTGAAACCTTTTGCTGAAATTTGCAATTTCTTCTTTTAAAAAAAAATGTTTCCATATTACTAGACATGGTGAGTGCCCTACAACTGAGAATACTGAGACATTCATTCGTCTGTGTGAGCGGTTTAATGAAAGAAACCCACCTGAACTTATAGGTATGTCTGGCTTTACTTTGCCACTGTTTATATACTTTATTTTGTGTTTTGGCTTCTGTTTTCTTTTTAGCAAGTGAGGTGATATGGAAGTTTTTTTTTTCTTCTTTTTAAAGTAATCACTAAGAAAAGTGATTAATTAGAGCAATAGACTAACTTTTGTGAACTATAAAATATATATATATTTTTAAAAGATTTTATTTGTTTATTTGACAGGGAGAGATAGCAAGAGCAGGAACACAAACAGGGGGAGTGGGAGAGGGAGAAGCAGACTTCCCACCAAGCAGGGAGTCCGATGCAGGGCTCGATCCAGGACTCTGGGATCATGACCTGAGCCAAAGGCAGACGCTTAACGACTGAACCACCCAGGCGCCCCCTATGAAATGTATTTTTGTAATTTTTATATTTTTCAAGATAAAGCCCTAATTGCCCCTCTTCAGGAATACTACTGGGTGACTTTACCTTAAACACTACATATTTATTTTTTATCATTTCGCATTTTATACCATATGTGTTGTGAAACTCTTTTTTCACTCAGTATTATATATCTGAGAGTGATCCATGATGATGTAACTGTGGTTCATTTTTTGCTGCTGTATAGTATTCCATTACGAATACCCTATAGTTCATCCATTCTCATGTTGATGGACAACTGTTTCAGCAGATATTTATTGATTGCTACTCTTTGCAAGGTACAGGCTCTTGGAACACATCAGTGGAGAAAACAGAAAAAAATCTCTCCTTATATTTTAGTGTGGACTGGGAGCAGGGGGAGGGGATGTGGGATGTGGGAGGAAGGCAGGCAATAATAAATATACTAAATAGGTAAATTTAAAAAAATGACAGTTATTTAAAATGACATTTGGCTTATTTTCAGTTTGTTTTTTTCTATTATAAACAGTGCTACTTGCACTGGTATAGAATTTTTAAGGTTTGATTTTTAGCTTTGATTCTTTGTTCTTTCTGATATTAATATTAACATATGGTTTGAATTGAGGATCTAATTTAAATGTTTTCTATATAACCATTTGTTTTAGCATAGCTTATTGAATAGTTTTTTCTCCTGATAGCTAGATGCCATAAATTAACTTCTTATATGTACAATTGGAAAGTTTTTCCATTTCATTTGCCTTTTAATTTTTGAGGTAATATTTTAAAACTTTTTATTGTCAATATATTTTCTTTTGTGATTTCTTCTTTTTAAAGTTTTAAGCAGCCGATATTTTCCCTATTCAGAGAATTAACTGAAAAACTATTAAGAAAGTTCAGGGGATATATTTAAACACCCATAAGTAAGACAGCATCAGCAACTTTCTTGTAAATAGTAAATAGAAAATAAAATTAGAGGATGGTCTTTATTAATCTTATTAATAATATTGGTTAACATGGAGCATTTCCTGTGTGCTAGTCACTCTAAACCATTTTACATTCAATATCTCATTTTGTTCTTATAACAATTCTATTGTGTAGACTTTATTGCCACTCCCATTTTTATGATGAGAAACTGAAGCTTGGAAAGGTTAAGTGACTTGCCCAAGGTCATTCACACAGCTAGTAATGATTAGAGCTTAGATCATATCCTAAGCAATCTTAGTTGTAAGTTCATACTCTAAGCCACTTCTCTTTTCTGTAGCAGAAGTACAAGATACCAAGGAATAAAGTCTATTAAGAAGTGTAGGAGGTCTTTATGAAGAAAATATACTTGGATATTAAAAGACTTGAAGAAAGGGGAGACATTTGTTTCCAAATTAATTTCAATTATTAGTGTAATTCTAAGCAGAATCCCAATGAGACTTTGGAAGATTTACTATGAAGTTAATTTCTTTTATTTGTAAAATTTACTGCGTCCACATAATTCAGCATATATTGAGCACAGAAAAAAATTATTTGGCAAATGAAACAGTCAATATTATAAGAAAATTTTGAAAAACAAAAATAATGAGGGGATTGTCCTTACAAGTTAAAGCATAGGGTATAGTAATGGAAACTACAGTAGTTTCTTGGTGGTGGAGGAGATGTTTTCCAAATTGTAGGGGGAAGGTGTGATTATTCAATAAACGGTGTTGAGACAGTACATCTAACATGTATTTTAGATTGATTAATTTTTTTTTTTTTTAAAGATTTTATTCATTTGAGAGACCAAGAGAGGCAGAGAGCACAAACAGGGGGAGAGGCAGAGAGAGAGGGAGAAGCAGATTCCCCACTGAGCTGGGAGCCTGATGTGGGGCTCAGTCCTAGGACCTAGAGATCATGACCTGAGCCGAAGGCAGACGCTTAACCATCTGAGCCACCCAGGTGCCCGGATTAAATATTTTTAAAAGGACCCATAAGCATATAGGAGAAAATATAGGTCAGTATTCATTAATTCTGGGGTAAGATAGGATATTTCAATTCTATCACCAAAAGCAGAATCCATAAATATTTCTTTAGAAGTGTCCCTGGACTCCTTGAATCAGAATGACCTGAGGACGCTTATTACAAATGTTTGTTTCAGGGCCTCATCCTGGAACTACATAATCAAAAACTCGGGCTGAAGCCTAGGAATCCAGTTTTTTGTTTTTTTATTTTTTTTAAGCAAGGGGCTTAGGTGACTTTTTATGCACACTTAAATTTGAGAGCTGCTGTCAAAAATTAAAATGTGTTCTCTGTTAGTGATAATAGTACCTGCTGCTATTAATGAGTGCTTATTCTTTACCTGGGAGACATGATGGGAAACTATAAATGAATGAATGAAGAAATGAATGAGTATAATCCTCATAACAACTGTGTAGTATGTGGTGTTTTCCCCATTTTACAGCTAAGAAAACTACTAAGTCTCAGAGAAATTAAGTAGTTTGCCCATGGTTACACATCTGTTAAGTGTTTAAGCCAGATTTTCAGTCCAGTTTCTGACTTCAAAGTTCAAATCTCTAAATTGTTGCTGCCTTGATTTCTAGATTAACTCATGAAAATGAAAAAGAATTTCTGTACTATAAAACATAACAGAAACAGAGCAAAATGGTTATTTGACAAGTTTGGACAAGTATTTGAAGCATATGACAGATAAAAAAATATATACAAGGAGGGGCGCCTGGGTGGCTCAGTTGGTTGGCATCCAACTTTTGATTTTGGCTCAGGTCCTGATCTTGGGGTTGTGAGATTGCTCAGCACTCAGCTAGGAGTCTGCTTGTTTCTCTCCCTCCCCTGCTTGCTCTCTCTTTCTCTCTCTTAAATCAATCAATAAAATCATAAAAAAATGCATACAAAGAGATTTTATAATCCAACTGGCAAAATATGGAAAACAATGAAAATGCAACTTATAAAAAATAAAATACAGATAGCCAAGAAACATGAAAAAAATTTTTTTTCGTTTGTTAACAAGAGATACAATTAAAATATAGTTGTTACCTTCCCCCATTAAATTGGCAAAGATTTAAAAAATTAAAATGTCAAGGATTGGGTATATTGGGTGCACTCATACATTGTTAGAGTGTTAATTGGTACTACTTCTCTGGAGAGACAATTTGGTGATATTTTTCAAGGTCTTCATAAGCGTTTATATACAAGCAAGACTACATCTAATTCATTTTAAGGACGTAGAGATGGACATAAAGATTTATGTGAAAGGAATTTCATCACAGCTTCATTTGTAATAAAATAAAAACTGGGAACAGTTTACATATTTGATAAAGCAGGTTATTTATTTATTTATTTTTAAAGATTTTATTTATTTATTTGATAGAGAGAGATAGTGAGAGCAGGAACACAAGCAGGGGGAGTGGGAGAGGGAGAAGCAGGCTTTCCGCGGAGCAGGGAGCCCGATGTAGGGCTCGATCCCTACAGGACCCTGGGATCATACCCTGAGCTGAAGGCAGACGTAAAGCAGGTTATTTATAGAGTTTGCAACTATTATTAACAGAAGAACAAGAACATGGGAATATATGCCATACAGTATTGTGATGTATATGTGTGTAGATATTTACATGTTCACAAGAATATATATGACAAGTACACATATCTACACATATATTTAGGTGTGCATCCAGAAGATAAACAGCCTAAAATAGCATTGTGGCCTTTATTTGAGTGACAACTGTTTTCTCATTTGAGAGAAATCATTGTGGGGTAAATGCTAAATGTACTTGAAGAATTCAAAGGAAGGCAGTAAGTCTTAACATTCAGAAACAGATGTCATGATTTTAGAAAGATTAACACTCCCAGGTTTAGGAAAAGAAGTTGATCCTTGTTGTATTATTGGAGTTATTTTTATATAGTTGACATATTTAAATCAGTTGCCATCAGCATTTATTCTTAATGTCCAAATTGCTCCAACCTAGGGCAATGGGAGCCCCTTCAAGTTGGTTTCTGTATTCTTTTGATATCACCCATTAGTTTTTGATGGTTTCTTTGTTTTCTGGCACATGATGTTTTCCAGACCTGGAATCAGTTATTTCTCTAAGGAGATTGGTTCCTTTTAGTGGTTCCTATTTAGAAAATAGTATTTAGAGATAACCTCGGTGTTAGAGACCATTCCGTAATTAAACACATTAACATTTCTGCAGTTAAACATATGAATATTCATTTACACCAAACGGAGATAATGGAATTTATATAGTTTCATGATTATAGTCATTTATTTCTGGGCGCCTGGGTGGCTCAGTTGGTTAAGCGACTGCCTTCGGCTCAGGTCATGATCCTGGAGTCCTGGGATCGAGTCCC